AGGAGAGGATCCTTTACAGAGACGTTACTAGTTTGGTAACAAGCTTGGGATAAAGAGTCATTTACAGGGAATAGAACTCTCAACCGGGGGACCTAGATTATGAGCTTCGATTATCAGACAATGAGCTAAAGAAAATCGCGAACTAAAGTGTCTGAGCTGAATGAAACATGCAAAGTGAATCCTTATGTTAAATGACATAAATCTAATTTCTCCTAATCCTTCTGCTTCTTTCATCTTGTTCAATGTTTTTTAAGAGTTATTTTTGCACGAAAAAAAATTCTTGGTATATCAATGTGAAACAGTGAGAGATCATCAAAAAGGAAGGGCAAGAATCTTTTTTCTCATATTATGTGGTAAAAGATGGAGAGTTTATGAAGCTATCTTTTGCCTGTGAAGACATTATCTCAACAGGTTCTACTCGCTATTGAAGGCGGCCATCATTAAATTAAAATTGACCAGCATCCTAGTAAACAGCAGCTACGTCCAAAGTTTGTTGTGAGTAAATAGGAAGAACTGCTACTGTAACACAGGCAGCCTGTGAAAAGAAAGAGTTTTCGTATACTTCTTAACGTGCTCGTTTCGACAAGATATTTACGGTGCAAAGAGTAAACTCATTCTATCGACAGAAGGAGAGGCCACTGACTTTGTTTTCTGTGGCGTTTATTCCGGCGAGGAAGATGATCGGTCCAGCTCCAAGGGACACAGAAACACTCAGTCGAATTTGAGAGAGAGGTTGACAAAGATCTCTGATAAAATAATACTTAAAAAAAAAGAAAATAACGAATTAGACAAAAGCAAAAACGACAATAACAACAACACACTGAAGACATGATTTGGTCAAACGTTCGCGATGTGGCATGAAATGTAGCTTGAATTTGTGAATTATCCAACATGCATGTTCTTGTTTGCATGGAGACTTGCATTGAGATATCTTTTCTCACCAGCCTTGTTAAGGGGAGTTAAGAATCTACCTCATTATTATTCAGGTACATTACTTACTTGAGGCAAGAATAAATTAATAATGTTAAAAGTATCCCAACGATGGAAAGGCTCAGTGACAATATTGAGTAAGTCCATTGAGCCCATAAAATTATTGAGTAAGGCAAAAATAAGTTTGTTACCTTTTTGCTACCGTCGTAGTCCATTAAGACGGCAAATGCGTCAAATGATTGCAGCTGCAGACTGTTTCGTCTGAGTTGCTTTTTGATGTAACTATATGGCATCCTTCCTCTGGAAAGCTGTCGGACATGAAAAAAAGTAAAGTTAACAAATTATTCATTGTTTGGGGAAGAGGTGATTGACAATTTTGCGCTAAGATTTTCTTCCATTGTAGTCATAGCTGCCAGAATATTTCAATCAGACTTCCCCTCTCTAAAAAACGACAACATGCTGGCTTTCAGGAAAGTGTTCATCTGCGCAAAAAGATCTGAGAAAGTTCATTCAATCTCCCCCATACTTAATTTAAATTAAAAAGTAATAAATACAATACAATAATATATTGTAGTTTTTTTACCTTTTGCTGAGGCCACTCCAAAACATACAGCGCTTCTCCGCTGTCAAGACCTGAAAATGCGTTTTATCTTGTCAGAATAAATCAAAACAACACACAGCAACTAATTTTCACGTTACCTTTAGGTTTTTGAACTTTAGGATGACATTTTCTCGCAATGTGTCTGGCTTGGGGTCCATAGTAACGGCCATTATCCTGGAGTAGATATACCTACGAAGAAATTGTATTTGAAAATAGACCAGAACCAAGGAAGCAATATTACATATTTTTTGTAGATTCAAGCCAATATTTCATGAAGTGGAATGGTCAGAGACAAGCAGGGAGTCTTCCAACCCTAGTTAGGGTTTTTGGAAAGTTTCTCAGTTCAGTTTAGTTGAACTTAGATCTTATGTGTTTCCGTGTTATTTGTTTTTGGAGGTAAACGACATGGAGTAATATGAAAATAACGGCACCTTTGGTTGTCTGTTTTACTCCTTAAGGCTTGATCCGTCAGAAGTAGGTCATGCAAATCCTTGTACACACACGCAACCACCATTGATCCTTTAAACCCCCAAGGATCAACAAGAAAAAAACAAAATTGAAAATTTTTTATCAGGTTCTATGTAAACTAAGGAGACACATTTATATGAGGCTTTATTCCAACACAGAAGTTTCGATTGGACAAACCGAGGTAATGCTAAAAGTTGTAAAGTTACCACAATAGTTCATACGAACCATTTTCCACAAAATTTGAAGAAGCTATATCGATTCTCGCTGGCCATTGTTGTTCCTCAAAGTGGAAGCCACTAGCATTCTGGCGATAGGCTTTTTGAACGACCAAAACTGTCGGGAAAAAAAAGACAAATGAAAACACTTACGGTGAAATTTGCAATAGCACATCTACACAAATATGCGTTCTGCGATGTACACAAATATTTCATAATCTTATTGGATGGACGTGTATTGTTCGTATCTTATTTGCCCTTCAACGACTATTCGACGATTTCAACCATTTATAAAACGTTTTTCCAATGTAAAACTGATGAAAAAGTGAGCAGTAGAAGACGGACTAAAATTTTCAAAACTCAATTTACAAGTACGGTTAAAAATCTTGCATTTATATGCATTGCAGACGATAGGCCAATTTTGAGCTTAGTCTATACTATGAAGTAAGCGAAAAGTATTCGTAAGATTTGGCAATTTAGTGAAGTGTTACTCACCAATCTATTATTTAAGAAAAGTTTCAATAAACAGAGCGAGACGAAGGGTTTCACAATTTAAAGGATTCCGATTCTCCCTTGTTGATTGTTCAAGAATACCTTGAATTTCCTTCCCCACCGTGAAAAATCAAAGTATCAAACAAATTAAAAGAACAGATCAATCGATGACATCCAACAATAGCGTTTCTAAAAAGTTGGGCATATAACTGAGTTCTTACATTATTTAGCTATAGGGAATTAGACCACTCATTCGGTCAGTCAGCGTGTCAGTAAGTAACAAAGGAATAGACTGAAACTAAACGGGATTGAGTGCCGCAACCTCACCCATTTTTGGGGAAACGATCCTTTCTGAAGGCTTCATTCCACTCTGGTGTCGCTTGCTATAATTAAGAGCAAATTTTTCAACGGCCTCTGCCACTTCAAAGATGGATTTTTCCAGTGTTTTAACCTCTTCTATACCGGCCTTGTCTTTTGTGACGTTCTTAATTTTTAAGATGAAATCTTCCAACACAGTTACCGCCTCCTACAATTACATAAAATGTTTCCACGTCATTGACTAGCGAGTTTCATATATACAATTCATATCAAAGATGCGGAAAAAGTCCAGCAGGAGGCCCCAAATGGTGTTCAGGGTATTCATTGGCCAAAGAACTCTTTTAGGAGACTGGATTACTTTTTAAGCCTCACCATTCTCACCTCATATGGCTTGAATGGTGGTTTAGCCTTAAAGATTATATATTTATAGGTTATTTCACGGTTGGTGAGCGCATACGATTTTTACACAACGAGTGAATAAAAATCGTACAAGCGAACTAACCGTCAAATAACTTATTTATTATATACATACCGAGATTCCAAGGTGAACAGAACTCAAAGATAAACATATCTTTATCTTCTTTGGAAGGAAAACAACGCACGGTCAAGCCGCCTCACAGTTCTCGTCTCGCCTTTCAAAACAAGAAATTAGTGGAAGAGAGCAACATCGTGTTTGCTCTTTTTCTTTGGTGTTTTCATTTTCCTGTCCGTCTATGAACTCTTCTACTGACGAATCTAGGCTCTGAGAATAGTCAGTCTGATTTGAAGCCATCTTTCCAAAGAAAAATGCGCCTAAGCTCTTAGAATGTGCTATTTGACAGTCAAGAGGAACGGCGAGTGAGCGACACAGTTTTGTTCACCAGCGAAAATAATGATACAGCCATTGGGAGTGTCGATACGTCGTTTTTCATTGGTAAAAAAATCGTAATACCAATCAGCTGGCTTCTCTAGCGCGAAGAAACTATTTTTATCTCGATGCCTTTTGGCGCGTAAATCTCGCTATGTATATAATAATTACTTTTTATCGTTTATATATCAAAGTTAAAAAGCCGTTAAGTTATGAACATTGGATACCTGTATGGAACTCTCTCTGGTAATATTTAATCCACGTAATTTTGAAACACTCCTTTGCCTAAAATTTAAAATAAATGTGTGTCACCGAGAAGATCCTGAAAAGTGACATGCATAAAAACGGTAAATTACTATTTAGAAAACATGCCGGATGCGATGGCGATGGTTACAGCGATGGCGACAGCGATGGCGACGATGACGGCGACGATGACGGCGACGATGACGGCGACGATGACGGCGACGATGACGGCGACGATGACGGCGACGATGACGGCGACGATGACGGCGACGATGACGGCGACGATGACGGCGACGATGACGGCGATGGAGATAGCGATGGCGAGGTTGAGGTCGACAGCGAGAGCGAGGGCGAGGATGAGGGGAAGGGCGATGGCGATGGCGATGGTGATGGCGATGGCGATGGCGAGGGCGATAGCGACGATGAATCTTTAAGGAAAAATAAACATCAAGATTATATCACAAGATAAAATTACCTTAGTATTACACTTGAGGGCAAAAATGCGGACGGAAAGCAGAGTAACAAATTGGCCGCTATGAACGATCAAAACTCTTAAATCCACTCGATTGGTTATACAGAGCACTCTCATTGTTTCCTTTACAATATATTCGTCTTTCGCACACGTCTGGTATGATCGATGCTAAAATAGGGATGTAAGATGGTTTTCAAAAATACTAGTAAATGAGGTAATGATGCAATAATACATCCCTTAATCACTGGTTTAACATATAATACGAGTACACATTTTGCCCAGTTTTTGTCATTTCCACTCGCCCCTACGGGACTCGGAAAATGCCACGCAAGTCGCAAAATATCCGCGCGTATTAATTGTTAAACCACTGAGTATGACGTATTAATTTCTTATTTCATCTTCAGCTGTTTGATATAAATTTACCAAAGCCTTCTAACATAATTATTTAGTTTTCGTGTAACAACGGTTTGTTTGTTTGTTTTTTTATTTTTTCTAACTGGCACACTCTCGGGAAAACTTGGGAAAAAGGCGACCCTGATTTTGCAATTAACAAAAGCCTAATTTCTAGTCGTCGAAAGTATCAAAAGCACCGTAATGCTTGGGTGGGGCAGGCAGAGTTAAGAAAAGAGTCGAGTTAAACAAAAGAAATCACAGCGGTGACTGTCAACGCTTGCAAGTGAACCTTGCAAAACATGCGGGAACTTTCTAGATCTTCGCGCCTACGATAAGGGTGGCCGACGGTGAATAATAAGGAGAAGGGTAGGGGTAGGGGTAGGGGAATCGATATTACGCCTGTTCAAGGTCATCATTATTTTGCAAAACCCGTTTGCCTACGATCGGAGTTCCTCATTGGTGTAGTTAAGCTTCAGCTGTGAATCATAGGCCAAATGTGTCATTTGGACATTTAGCTCTTGCGGGAAAATGCGAAAGGTGGCAAACTCTGTAAATAATGAAGTTGTTAGTTTCGATTCCGCTTTCGAGGAAGCACTTAAGTGTCTTTCGGAATTTAATATAGCGCATTAAAATCGGAACAAAAACAAGCAATTTCTACACTGGTTCTGGAAAGTATCTACTGGCCGCATTGCCAACTGGCTTTGGGAAAAACCTGATACTTCAGTTATTGGTTTGCATGAGAGAAACCTTCGAGCGTAGTTGTCGTTTGTCAGCTTGGTTAACGTATTGTTTATGATCAAATGGATTAACAGTAGCTACGCACACGATTTGTCGTTTGGACGACATAGAGTGCGAAAACTATCAACTTGTATTTGCGTCAGCAAAGGAAGTTTTGGATGCTTTTTATCGTTGATGAAAATAGTGGCCACACCGTTTCACCAGGGCGTGCCGATTTGCATCAAACAAATTATGGCATGTAAACCTTTGGGTGCTGTTGTTTGTGCTTCAAAGATACATCTATCTTCACTATGGCGTCCGCCATCTCTGGCCTGCCTTTCTGAATTAGTTAATTTCTTAGCAGGTAAGGTTATCTGTGAGTTCACGTAATTTTGGTAGTTAAGATTTTGAATATCAATTAGTTCCTCGTTGAGCTGACACCTCCCCCTCCCCCGCCCCCTTTTCTTCCTTCTTCCTCTCCCATCTGAGCAGACTTCGAAAAAACGTAAAGTTTTTATAAATGTCCAACCGGAGATTTGTAGTTAACCTTATACAGTTGTTACGGGAAAGTTTGTCGGAAAAAGAGCAAAAATTTAAAGAACACGGGACAATCTCAAAAGATTATTAAAAGTTGTGAAACGCACAATTTCGATCGCTGTTCTTCCAGCTGCAGCCGATGCAAAGAAGGATAATAGTAGAGCGATCATACGGGATTTGAATCCATGACCTCTGAATTGCTGGTGTAGCGCTCTACCAACAGAGCTAACAAGCCAACTGGGAAATGAATTTTTCTAAGGCCTTATTTTCACTACTACTCAACAAGAGTTCACAACTGCGAGGATTGCCTCTATATTCCTTTCTTCAACCGCAGTGCACATATATGATTTTCATATATTTACAGTTATGTAATAATGCTGATGATGGATACGAATAGGTGTTTTTTATACAATTAATTTTAATAACAAATGATGGGCATCAAAATCCTCTACCTCACTGAAGCAAAAATTAGAATTAGGCATCGTTTTACAGGTGGAAATTGTGAATATTAGGGTAGTAGCACCGTTATCCCTTGACCTTTTTGTTTTGTTCTCCAACTTACGTTTTAAATCGCAATCCGATGTAATTCTAGCAGGAAGTCTATGACTAATTATTAGTATAATCTGTCAGATATTATCGTTTTTTCCAGTTCATTTTAAGGCGCATGAATGTTAATATTGGAATTTCACTGCCTAACCTGTTCCTAGCAAATCCAAATTTTAAATCCAAAATGTTTTTTAGCTCGCAGCAATACGAAAATACAATGTTTCTCTAAGCAAATTACTCGGGTATCTTTTGGTCTCCAAAATTTTGTGAGGATTTTTCCATATTCTTGGGTGTTACTGCGGAACCCATATAATATATATATATATATTTATCACATAAACTGCGGTGTTATACAGGGATTTCCGGCCCTGAGAAAAGCCGTAACAACACACGTGAAAAAATATCGTATTTTTTCGTCTGTTGATATAGCCAATCAGCTGCTGACACTCGCCTGACTCACTCGCCTTTGGCGCCACTCAGTCAAGTTGATAAATGTTTGGCAAAGGCTTCACGATTCTCAATACAAGTTGTTTGTCGGAGCTTTCTCGAATTATGGCGGCTAAAACACTAAAAAATCTGTATTGCTGACAGACAGTGAGGTTCAAACTTTCATAGAGAGGAAGAAAACCAATATACTAAAAGAAAAACCAATTCAGTCGTATTCAGTGGCTTTGGTATTAGCATTTCTTTCGGCTGAGAATGAAAATCGACAACTGGAGGATTTGCCACTGGCCGATTTTGGCCGTTTACCTGAGAGACTTTTTCTGTCAGTAACGACAAAGTCAATAAATGAGAATTTTGTAAATTGAAAATTACGACCATTGTTGTTTTTGTAATCATGATTCAACGCATTTTTCCATCTCAGGAGTTAGCGCCAACGCTCTTTACGATTGTTATTCGGGGATTGTCGATTCATTTATAAATGAAGTGGGCTTTTCTTCTCAGTAAAGGGCTATTGTGGTTATATGATAAACAAAATAACACATGGTTGCTTGTAGATATGGAATTTCTCTTCTCGTGTTCAACTCGACATCTCACTCGTTTGCTGCGCTCACTCGTGTGCTATCGAGTTAAACACTCGACGAGAAATTCCATATCTATGCGCCCATGTATTATTCTCTCTCTCTCTCTCTCTCTCTCTCTCTCTCTCTCTCTCTCTATATATATATATATTTTTTTTTTTTTTTTTTTTTTTTTTTTTTTTTTTCGTAAAATGAGATAAGTAAGAAAATTTACTTTCGGGTACAAAGGAGAATAATTTAAAAGAGACATACATTTTAATTGTCCATGACGTCCAACTTGGCGAGCAATCAACAGTCATCTACCCTGAGTGTTAATAATTGAACAATAATTTGAAAGCTAAAAAGTTTGGGTTCCGCGATATTTGAATATCGCCTTATGTGAAGGCTTTCAGTGAACCTTTGGGCTGGAATTCATTGTACATGACCCTCGAATGAGGAACACGAGGCGTAAAGTAACATCATCGCCCGTGATGCTCGTAGATAAATAATAATAATAATAATAATAACTTTATTTAAGTGTCAGTGTATTTTAGCACTGCTGTGCTAATTGGGGACACTGTCAATAAGGAAACAAATATCGTAAATGAACAGAAACTCGTTAAAAACCCCAACTGGTAGGAGGCAGACTAGTTGGCTATTTATAAAGCGTGCAGGAGTTGAATTCGGGGCCACCGAAGACAAATCCATCCAGTGGCAGGGAGGAGGACTTGAACCCGGGACCTCCGGCTTACAAGTGCAGCGCCCTAACCACTAGGCCACGCTCGCCTCCTCAAAGATCTGGGGTGATCCAATAAAAATGACTAATAAGAGGACTTTATTGAAAGCCAAAGACATAATTTTTTAATTAAGCTTAAATCAAAAAAGGTTCTCCGTGGGGCTGTAAGGAGTTCCATTCCAGAATTTTAATACGTAGATTGTTTAAATTTTAAGGGTTGTTTTAAATATTTTTCTGTGGGTGCACGTCACTTTAACCCCTGAGCTCGTTCAGAAAATCAGATATCGAAATTCATGAATACTAATGGTGTTTTAACTTGCGATGAAAAAGGATAAAGTACACCAATTTAACCATTTTTTTCCAAATCCCCGGATCGAATGTTAAATTTTGCATCTGTTTAATTTAATGCCATTTTAAGTACACCCTGATGATTAAGTTCGATCTCTTGTCTAAGCACATCGAACGTTCAGCAGCTATCTAAAGGGGAGACGTGTTTCCCTTTTGACATCTTGTCATAGTGGCATAAAACGATAGCAATTAAGCTATCATAAATATGGCTGCCAAAGCTGTTGTATAGACAACCATGACGGAAACAACATGACCACCGCATGAATGTCTCGCCTGTGCTATTTGCTTTCTGATTACTTTGCTCTGTATGAAGGGCTTCAGGAGTCCAATTTATAAGAGATCCTTCTCTAATTATGAACTAAGAGTTTAAAGCGGGCATCTTTAGAGTCTGGTGTGTTTTGTTTTTATTAAGAGTGCCATATAACCGCCATCTGACATTTTTTCCTCGAATTGGTTTGGCTGAGTTTTACAAGAAGTTCCAAAATCGATATAAATGTTTCGCAAATGGAAAGTCGAGATATAATTAAGGTGGTACTAACCTCGCGCGCAAGTATTAGAAAAACATTTGCAGACTTTATTGGACTCAGTCGTACTCATCTCGCAATTAATCAAGCGCACGATACTATTATAGGTTGCTGTCAATACCTGTCTTTACACTTATACGAATGTATCATTCCGGGTAATTCTTTTTTCAATTATTTGGTATTGCATGGAGAGCGAAGAATATCTAGAAAAATTATAATAATGATAATGGTGATAATACAAAGATCCCCAAGTTTTGCTTTAATGATTAACAAATAGTTTAGAAAGGACATCTGTAGAGTTTGGTATATTTCATCATTAAAGTTCCGTTGGTTTAAAAATCCAAATCAATATTTCACAAATTGCAAGTCGATTTCGACGGTGTCATAGCTACAGCAGAACAAACAGGAATAACTAGCTTCGTACTTACCCAGCACACAATGTATTGAAAGCGCTTTGAAAATTTTGCCGGATTCAGTTCCATTTATCATCCACTTCATCGTGCCTAAGATATGCAAAGGTTACTCTTAAGAGCTATCGTTACACTTAAATTTGATTCACCTCGCTTGAGAGTTTTGAATTTGCGGCATCCTCATAAAAAGCCTTTCGTACCAGTTAGATTTTAATGCAAATCATGATCTCTGATCACATGTTCATGGCGTTAGTCTCCATTTTTTTTCTGTCATACACGGACCAATAGACAAAAAGCAACTTGCACCAGATGTGAAGCATTGTTTTTCTTAATACAATCGAAAATTTTCACAGCATTAAAATACTTTTTATAGTTCAAGATTATTTCTTTCTGAGCTCTACTAAATAAAATTGTCTTAAACAAACTTCTCCTTTATCAACCGCCAGCTAAAGCTAATATGCCATCAGTTCGTATGCATAAATAGAAATGATTATTATCTATTCATCTCGCCTACGACATGCTGTGCGTTTCATTTGGTGGGTCTAATTACTTCGTATGTCTTGATCTTTGATGAACTAACTCGCGCATGTATTAATTAACATGTATCGGCAAACTCTGAGTCGAAGGATTTCTTCTCGGTTTTCTTAGATCATAAGTTCGATGTGAGTTTACACCAGGTTGATCGTTAACTGATCAGAAAACCAACAGAGGCTAACGGCTTAGTGTTCAGCCTCCAAAACAACTCTCCCCTGCAAAAGCGTCAGACCACCTCCTTTGTGTCCAAATGTTCGAATTCCAACATTTTAGAAGGAGCGGTGGAGTCAAAAGCTCTCAGTGCGAGACGTTCCTGGGTCATAGTGATGCGCTCTGTGGGCGAGACATTCTAATCTCCTAGTATCTCTCCACGACCATGAAATAATTGATTATTTATTCTGGAATATTCCCTTATCCTAGCTGCAATGTATTTAGTCAATCGAAGCCTGAAGCGCTTTAACTTATCGTATTTCAGCGCTGTAGAGAGAAATGTACTTGTATATTCCAGAATAATTCTTTTTTTTTAAACATCTTCCGTCTTAATCGTACGCTTCGTCATTCATGTTTATTTATAAACAGGTATGACGTAACCTTGACTGTCCTTAACTGTTGGCACATCGACAAAATCGACTCCTTCCCTTGCTTCTTGAAATTTTTCTTCGATGCTACGTCTCCGCCGTAGTGATATTTGAAAATCAGGCCCATGGAAATATTCGGCATTTCTATCGCTAAATTGCATACTCTGTGTAAAAGTTCTTTAATCCTTGTTTAATGATGTCTGCCGAATAGTTTATAATCTCTTGGTTTATGCCATTTCTGGCTAAAATTGCCTGAATTTAAGTCCAAATTGATCCATGTATTTTCGATTCAAAACGATACTCCTTTCCTAGGAATCCGAAAAAAATGGGTAAATATAACTGATCCACAAAAGATCCAGTCATAAGGGGTTTTTTCAGTTCTTTCAAAACTAGTTGTTTATTTATTCAAATATTTACATATTCATCTACTTATTCATTAAGCAACAACATTCAATGTCAGCGCTAGCTGCTAAGACTATTAGTATTATTTGTTATAATACGATTTAACCTACAGAAAGGTAATTTAATGTTGACAACTGGGTTGAAAACGTAAATTAGCCACCGTAAAGGGTAAAAAACTGACGTTTCGAGCGTTAGCCCTTCGTCAGAGCGATTGATTCCAATCGCTCTGACGAAGGGCTAACGCTCGAAACGTCAGTTTTTTTACCCTTTACGGTGGCTAATTTACGTTTTCAACCCAGTTGTTAACATTAAATTACCTGCTATACTCTCCCACCGACGCAGCACCACAGTTTCTTTAGAAACTTACCCCTTTAACCTACAGAAAGAGCATTATCTATCAACAAACCCAAATAATTTATTGAACAACTTGTAATATTCTTACCAAGGAACGACTCTTAAAGGAGGTAGAGTAATTATCCCTAAACAAAGTGATTGAAGCCCACCACAATTTATTAGCTCACCCCATACACAATCTCATGGTTGTCCTCAAAGTTCCTCGAAATTCACAATCTTCCATAGTAGCTCTCTCTCAGTATAGCTTTCGGAAAAGTCAGTCACTCCCGACAACAACAAGCACTACTGCTGCACTGAGTCCTAATGTACAAATAATTCCTCAAAATTCTGGAAGCTTACAACACAACTAGATTGGTAGTGTTACATCTTAACTACGTAACCTAGTAAAATTCTCGAGAAGTTCCTTGGTATGAATGTCGGCATGACTAGGCATTCTAGATTTCTGTGGTCTTATTCGAAGGACAGTCATAAAGATACTAAGCCATTAGAAATTTAAATCTATAGATTGGTTTATTTCGATGAATCTTGCCTGCAAATATATGATCGCCTAGAAAATAAACTAATAATCATAAAGAAGATAGGTTACAATTACAAGTAGTTGAGTGCTTAAACAATAATGAAGAGAATGACTTCTTTTTGTCTGCAGATTGTAACTCAGACCGATCGCAACCGACTAATAGCTGATTATACTAAGTAATTGACTGTTATTTACGGCTGACTGGATCCAGTTATTAAGTTAAGGCGATTTCGATTTAAATTCAGCTCAAGACTGCAATTCAACTGCCCATACATTTCCAACTTCACTTGGATTGACGTGTGGGCTCTTCCTTGTGGAATTGTGGAATGGAAAAACGATGTTCATCTTTCTTTCAAATCGCTCTCTGATCTGCAGATAGACGAGCAACAAGGAATATGGTTCTTAGCACTCGGATATTTTATCGAAACACTAAGACTTGATGAGATGCAGTTGGTGTAGAATCAGTCTAATGTTTTTTCTTACCTGAGTGTCTCGCATACCGTGTAAAGCGAAAATCAGGAGACCCTGCAGCATAAACATGATTTAAAGTTCATTACTTTTCACAACATTCAAATACACTAGTCAAATTTCTATTAAGATTTCCAAGAAGGAGGGAAAATTGCATATCTCATAAATGGAGAAGAATCTGTTGCATAGTTAACAGCTTTTTTTCTCAGAATTCTAATAAATATCAACTGACCAATGTAATGGTGTCTCTCACGTTTAGCCTGACCCTAAGTAAAATAATAATAGGGACTGAATGACTTTTGAGAGTTACTATCGAACACTGACCTGAGTAGAGTTGAGTATGGTGAAGATGTAAGCGAAAGCTTTATGTACAGGCGAAAGTAGACCAAATAGCCACGTGACACCCAGTAGGGGAATCATCACCACGCATGCTTTGATGCCAAGTCTAGGAGTTGAAAAAAACATTTCTTTAGTTTCCTTTGACAATTAATTTTCATCGTTAGACATTGGGTTAAAGAATGGGGAAGTTGGGCGAATATGCCTCAAAAGCAATCTCTTCTACTAGTTTGTTTTAGTTTTACGTTGGGAATCTTACCGTATTTGCTGAAAATGGTTGTCTTCCGCTGTTGGCTGCACCAAATTGGTCATCTCCTTTATGACTCGTACGAGTATCAACATATTGAGCTGAAGAATACAATAGAAATAAATTAGGTATTAGGAAATGGTAGTTGAATCGCCAAGGTAAGAGCGGATCCTTTCTCGCAAAAAACGTCACCAGTCTGGTAACAAGGGTTGGGTACAGAGTCTTCTACAGGGAATAGAACTTCCAACCGGGGGACCTAGATTATGAGCTTAGATCCTTTACCAAGGAGCTAAAGAAATCGCGAACAAAAGTGTCCACACTAAATGAACTACGCTGAGTGAAACTCATGTTAAATAATATAAATTCAATATCTCCACCTCTTTCTGCTCCTTTCCCCTTTTGCAATATTGCTTTATGAGTTATTTTTGCGCTAGAATCATATCTTCATATATCAATGTGAAACTATGACAAGCATTAACAAGGAAGTTGGATAGGTTTTTTCTTTCCATACTATGTAGTAAAAGTTGGAGAACATATTAAGCTATCTTATGCCTGTGAAGACATTGTCTCAACAGGTTTTCCTCGTTATTGAAGGCCATCACTAGCTTAAAATTGACCAGCATCCCCGAACACAGCGGCTACGTCCAAAGTTTATTTTGAGTAAATAGTTAAATATTGTGTGGGGATGCATGGTAAATACTTAATTCTATATTTAAGAGAAGAGAAAAAAAATCTTTGGCAATAATTAGTGCAGGTATACCAGTCCGAATCACCAACACTAATCATAAACTCACAATTTCAATGAAAGCCACAAAGGCGACAAATATCCAGATTAGGTTGTTAGTCGAGGAAAGCCAGCAACTATACTCAAAGAAGTAAAAGATAAGAAAGAAACACAAATTTTCAGCAAATTAAATGATACCGATTCTAAACCATATACAAACATACAAAAGAAGAATGCAATGAAATTAATTAAAAGGAGAAAAGCAAGAAGACACCGTTATTTTTTTTCCTCACTATTTATCACTCGTATAGCTTTGTAACCCTTCTTTCCCAGCAGCGATGCCAAGTGAAATGGCCACCATGATCATTGGAAGACCTACCCACAAAGAAAAGAAGGAAATCGAAACACTTCGCTGAATCACAACACCAGATTTGGCGATCCAAATGCATGGTTACAGTTACCAGTGCATGTTGTAAAATAATCAACTTACCCCATGAGGTGACGTGATACATGTACATCTTGGTGTTAATGTTGTAAACTTTCACAACGAAGAAGTAGAGATAAATTGCCTCGACCAGCATCCAACAGAAAGCGACCATCAAGAAATACTGCACCAGAGCTGCTACTGAAACACAGGCAGCCTGTGGAAAGAAAGAGTTTTCGTATAATTCTTAACGTGCTCCTTTCGACAAGATATCTACGGTGCAAAGAGTAAATTCATTCTATGGATAGAAGGAGAGGCCCCTGACTTTGTGTTCTGTGTCGCTTATTCCGGCGAGGAAGATGATCTGTCCAACTCCAAGGGACATAGAAACACTCAGCCGAATTTGGGAGAGAGGTTGACGAACATCTCTAGTGAAATAAAAGTAAAAAAAAAAAGAATGAATGAGACAAAAGCAACAACAACAACTCATTGGATACACCAAGAACAGCAAAACAAAAAATTTAATTAAAAGACACAGAAAAATATAACCAAAAGATTATCTAAATCTTGACAGCAAAGGAAAGAAAAAAAGTCAATAAATAACTCCAGAGAGGACAAAAAAGGACATATTACGAAGAAAATCTCTAAACCCTAAACAATTTATAAACCGTGAAACCATGAGTTGTTCAAGCATTCGTGATGGGGCATGAAATGAAGCTTGAATTTGTGAATTATCCGACATGCATGTTCTTGTTTGCATGGAGACTTGCATTGAGATCTCTTTTCTCACCAGCCTTGTTGAGGGGAGTTAAAAATCTACCTAATTATTATTCAGGTACATTACTTACGTGAGGCAAGAATAAAGTATTAATGTTAAAAGTATCCCGACGATGGAAAGGCTCAGTCCCACGTAGGTGATAATTTTCAGAATTGTTTCGTCCTCCTCGGTGAGCTGTGTTAAAAAAAGAAAAATTGAAGGACAACATTTAGTTAGTTCATTGAGCCCATAAAACTATTGAGTAAGACAAAACTAACTTTATTACCTTTGTGCTACCAGCGTAGTCCATTAAGACGGCAAAATGCGTCAAATGATTGCAACTGCAAACTGTTTCTTCTGAGTTGCTTTTTGATGTAACTACATGGCATCCTTCCTCTGAAAAGCTGTCAGACATAAAAAAAATTTAAAGTTAACAAAGGGCACAAAATTATTCATTGTTTGGGGAAGAGGTGATGTTTCACAATTTTGCGCTAAGATTTTCTTAGTTGCGAGGACATTTCAATCAGACTTCCTCTCTCTAAAAAAAACAACATGTTGTTAATGTGTTAATCTGCGCGAAAGTTCATTCATTCTCCTCCATAACTGATTTAATTTTAGAAGGAATAAATACTATACAATAATATATTGTAGTATTTTTACCTTTTGCTGAGGCCACTCCAAAACATACAGCGCTTCTCTGCTGTCAAGACCTGAAAATGCGTTTTATCTTGTCAGAATAAATCAAAACAACACACAGCAACTAATTTTCACGTTACCTTTAGGTTTTTGAACTTTAGGATGACATTTTCTTCTAATTTCTCTGGCTTGGGGTCCATAGTTACGGCCATTATCCTGGAGTTGATATACCTATGAAGAAATTGTATTTGAAAATGGACCAGAATCGAGGAAGCAATATAACATACTTTTGGTAGATTCAAGCCAATTTTTCATGAAGGTGAAATGGTCAGAGATAAGCAGGGAAGCTTCCAACCTTAATTAGGGTTTTTGGAAAGTTTCTCAGTTCAGTTTAGTTAAACTTAGATCTTATGTGTTTCCGTGTTATGTGTTTTTGGGGGTAAACGACATGGAGTAAGACGAAAATAACGGCACCTTTGGTGGTCTGTTTCACTCCTTATGACTTGATCTGTCAGGAGTAGGTCATGCAGATCCTTGTACACACACGCAACCACCATTGATCCTTTAAAACCCCCAAGAATCAACAAAAAAAGTTATCAAACAACAACATAAAAGACACAAAATTGAAAGTTTTATCAGGCTCTGAGCTATGTGAATTTTTAGCAGGCGAATGATTAAAGAAGATAGACTATGTAAACTAAGAAAGCGCCTTCATATGAGGCTTTGATTCAATACAGAAATTTCTATTGGAGAAACCAAGGTAATACTAAAAGTTGTGAAGTTACCACAATAGTTGATACGAACCATTTTCCTCAAAATTTGAAGAAGGGATATCGATTCTTGCTCGCCATTGTTGTTCCTCAAAGTGGAAGCCACTTGCATTCTTGCGATAGGCTTTTTGAATGACCAAAACTGTCGGGAAAAAAAAAAGACAAATGAAAGCAGTTACGGTGAAATTTACAATAACACATCTACGCAAACGTGCGTTTTGCGGTATACAAAAATATTTCATAATCTTATTAGATGGACCTGTATTGTTTGTACCTTATTTGCCCTTCAACGACTATTCGACGATTTCAACCATTTTACAAGGTTTTTTAGGGTAAAACTGATGAAAAAGTGAGTAATACTGTACGGACTAAAATAGTGAAAACTCAATTGGTTCCTCGAACCGTTTCGTCGGAGAACTATAAAGTTCATTAGGGAGTTTCTATGAGTACGGTTAAGAATCTTGCATTTATATGCATCGCAGACGATAGGCCAATTTTGAGCTCAGTGTATTAAGTGATGCAACCGGAAAGTATTTGTAAGATTTGAAATTTTAGATAGTAAAGTGTTACTCATAAATTTATCATCTAAGAAAAGTTTCAATAAACAGAGCCAGAAGAATGATTTCACAATTTGAAGGATTCCAATTCTTTCGTGTTGTTAACTGTTCAAGAATACGTTGAATTTCCTTCTACACCGCGAATAATCAAAGTATCAAGCAGATTAAAAGAACAGATGTATCTATGACATTCAACATTAACGTTTCTTAAAAATTGGGCTTATAAATGAGTTCTTACATCATCTAGCTGTAGTAAATTAGACAATTCAGTGGGTCAGTCAGCAAGTCAGTAAGTAACAGAAGAATAGACTTCGAAACTAAACAGGATTGAAGGCCACAAACTCACCTATTTTTGGGAAAACGATCCTTTCCAAAGACCTCTTTCCACTCAAGTGTCGCTTGCCATAATTAAGAGCAAATTTTTCGACGGCCTCTGCCACCTCCAAGATGGACATTCTAAGTGTTTTAACCTCTACTGTGCCGGCCTTGTCTTTTGTGACGTTCTTGATTTTTATAGTGAAATCTTCAAACACAGCTACTGCCTCCTACAATTACATAAAATTTTTCCAGGTCATTAACCAGCCAGTCTCATATGTACAATTCATGTTAAGAATGTGGAAAAAGTCTAGCAGGAGGCCCCAAATGATTTCCACGACATTTATTGGCTAAAGTACTCTTTCATGCGCCTGAATTAGTTTTTAGGCCTCAACGTTTTCACCTCATGTGGCTTAAAGCCTTTAAATTATAAACTTTTAAGTTGTAAACTACATACCTGTACGGAATTCCTTCTGGTAATATTAATTCCGCCAAATTTTGAAACATACTCCTTTATCTGGAATAAAAATCAATGTCTGCCACATTTGTAAACAGAGAACATCCTGAAAAGCGACGTGCATAAAAAATGGTAAATGGCTATTTAGAAAACATACCAGCTGCCGAAGTGACGATGGCGACGGCGATGGTGACTTGGACGGCGACGAGGACGACGACGGCGACGGCGACGGCGACGGTGACGGCGATAGTGACGGCGACTGCGACGGCGAGGGCGATGGTGACGGCGACGGCGATGGCAATGGTGACGGCGACGGCGATGGCGATGGCGTGGTTGCAAGTACTATTCCGAGTGATGATAAAGGCAACGGAGTTTCCGTAGATGTTGATGAATCTTTAAAGGAAATTGTTAATCAAGACCGCATCATACGAAAAAAAGCCTTAGTATTATACTGTAAAAGCAAAAATACGGACAGAAAGCGGAATAACAAAATGGCTTTTATTAACGATCAAAACTCTTAAATCCGCTCGATTTTTTATTGGTTATGCACAACACTCCTAATGTTTCCTTTGCATTAATTTCGTCTTTCGCACACGTCTTGTGTGATCGATGCTCTGATAGGGCTGTAGCATGTTTCTCGAAAATACTGGTGAATAAAATAATAATGCAATAATACATTCCTGAATTACTCGTTTAACATATAATACGAGTACACATTTTGCCCAGTTTTTGTCATTTCAACTCGCCCTTAGGGGGCTTAGAAAATGCCACTCAAATCGCAAAATATCCGCAAGTATTTATTGTTAAACCACTGAATATGACGTTTTCATTTCTTACTTTATCTTAAACTGTCTCCAATGAATTTACTGACCCTTTTCAGGAGTCCGTTACTTTTTGAATTTTTTGGTTTAACCTTGATCATCTCGCTGGAAAAAGACTTCTAGCATTGTTATTTAGTTTTTGTATAACAACAGTTTTTTTTTTAGCCGGAACACTCTCGCAATGTTTGCTATTCAAGGAAGGGGTCGCATCTGGGAAAAGCGCAACCCTAACTTTTGCAATTGAAAAAAGCTTAATTCAAATCGTTGAAAATATCAAAAGCCCCGTAGTGCTTAGGTGGAGCAGGCAGATTTAAAAATTCGATTCGTTAAAGTATTGTTTATGATCAAATGGATTAACGGATTAACGGTAGCTACGCTCTCAGCTTTTCGTTTGGAGGACATAGAGTGCGAAAAATATCAACTGGTATTTGCGTCAGCAAAGAACGTTTTGGTGAGGCCTCTTTTTTACGTTGATAAAAATAACACAAATAACTTACCATTTGTAATCTCACAAATATAAGCCTTCCGTCGACGTGTCTGATTAACACTACCAAACACGCCCTGTTCGCCATTAATGGACCGCTTGTACATGAAAGCCGCATCGTGTTCACCACTTGGCTCCCCTCTTCCCCATTTGCAAAACGTTAGCGGTCTTCCACTCACCCAGGTCCAATTCCCGGCCTTTTTTCTTAAACCAATACTCCAGCTGTCGTTATAGCCTTTTTTAGTATTTCGCCTTTGAATCTCGTTATTGATGAAATTCCATTCTTCTTCGGTTTCGATGGAAATTAGGTCCCCTCCTTGGCTTTGGCAGATGACTCTGTTCCAGTTCCAGGACCATCCATATACCGAAATTATGTACCAAGAGTTGTTAAAAGTTATATTTGGGCATTCTACAAAATGATAAAGATGAAAACAAAAATAATGATTATCATAAAGGTGATAAACAAACTGATAATTATGATAATTATGATAACATAAAAAGATAATAATCACAATAAAGGAGAAAATGAAAATTTTTAAGATTATGTTTGATCAGTGTCAATTAAAAGAATACATCTTTTTTTCACTACGGTGTTCGCAATCTCTGACCTATTCTGAATCAATTAACTTCACTTCACATAAGATTGTTTATGAGTTCATGTAATTTTGGTAGTTGTGTTTTTGAGTAATAAATTAATTCCTCGTTGAGCTGACACCTCCCTCCCCACCCCGCCCCCTATTCTTTCTCTCCCATCTGAACAGACTTAAAAAAACGTGAAATTAAATGTGTGTAAGTTCTCATAGATGTGCAACCGAAGATACGCAGTTAACCGTATTCAGTTGTTACGGGAAAATTTTTCGGAAAAAGAGCAGAAATTTAAAGTGCACGGGACAATCTCAAAAGATTATCTAGGTAACGATAATCAATAGGGACTTAAAAAGTAAAGATAAATTAATTAGGGTTGGCTCGTTCTTGTTTTTGTTTTTCAGCAGTTTAGAATTTAAAGTCAGTCTTGCACATAAAATAGGTTCATCAAACCCATGATGCCTCGTCCTTAAAAAGACATTTTCTTAGATTTCCCTGAAATCCTGAGGTCAATCCTTGTCATGACCTGAAAGCTACCCACAATACATTTCGGGCTATCGTTTGCACTTTTGAAACGCTTTTTTTCCGACAATCTTTCTCAAAAGAACTCTATTTATCATTTGTTTTTCTCAGAGGGCATGGTAACGAATCCTGCAATATTATTGATTATCGATGCGGTCCGTATTTTCCCAACTCTGCCCACGAGTACGGTACTGCTTGAGCGAGCCGCCGGCAATATCTCTAGCTTTGTTGCCAATTTTCGTAAATTCATTTCGCTGGGCAGTATTTTTACGCAAATGATTTCAAAGAAAATTAAGCCGATTAATAAATTATTAATCCTCTCTTTCTCTCTCTCTCAAATCGCTTTGTTTGCCTGCAAAAAAAAAAATGGTTTTGAAATGAATTTTGGTAACAAATATGTCATTAAATGGGTTGACGTGCGGCCTAAAAACCGTTTGTAATTAAACTAAACCGTGACTAGAAGTAACTCAGAAAATTAAAACGTGAAGTATTTGTTTAAAATTGAAATCAAATCAACTCTCTCAAACAATTTGTTCAGTGAAGAACAGTGAACGAAATCTTCTGTACTTCAAATACGCTTCCTGTAAGTCTTTGCAACTCTGCTCAAGTTGGACACTGGTACTGTAAATTTCACAACAGAAAACGAAGGAATTCAACACTAAAAGCTGCATTAAAATTCTCCTTTTGGAGAAAGAGCACAGTTACACATGCGATTATGCCAAACAAAAGAGTAAATTCCCTCAAATTCAAAACAAAGATTTAAATTTATTTGCAATAACTCTCCACTTAGGTTTATATGCCAAACTAGCACCGTGGTTATTGTTGCTGTTGTTTTAAAGCGAGCATGCACTTTTTTTCTTACGCAATCTCTAATTGACAGGTGTCAGAATGTGACAGATACTGGTAAAAATGTTTCAAAGTTTGTTTGGATGCGTTTTAACTCATCTCTTTTACTACACAACTGAAAATAATTAGGTGAGGCCTCTCTTAAATCTACATTATTAACTCATTCTGTTTCAAATACTATTTACTCGGTCAAAAATTGTTCAGTTCATGGAGGATCTTACCGGAATTATAGCGCTAAATCACCAGGTTCTTTTTGAAAACATTTCGTTGAGTTTAAGGAAAAACAAACTGTTATTCACTAGCCTAGTTCTATCCGTATTGGGAAAAACTGTGCACTCTGTCTTAGGTACCGATGCTCAAGACCTTGGGCACAGTCTTACCCAGTGAATAACATATTTATCTCTGACTCGTACAAGAAACACACAAACGCACACCCCCACCACCCACCCACGCACTAAAAAATAAAAATACTTCGATTTTTATGTTGAAAACAACATGCATATACTCACTGACCTCAGTGAACACGCCTGGTAACTTGCGGCAACGTAAAATTCCGTTGGCTAAATTATCCCAATCGTAGGGCACTCGACAAAAGTTACGAAATGTACAATTTCGATCTCTGTCTTGTCAGCGGCAGGCGATGAAAAATGAGAATGATCATTTTTTTAGAAACATGTGTCCCGGAAACTTTCATGGGCATTATGTCCAACAACTAACACGCGTTTAAAAGTTCATTCATCGCTCACACGTACGTTAGGTAAGCTTAGTATAGCAGGTAATTTAGTGTTAACAACTGGGTTGAAAACGTAAATTAGCCACCGTAAAGGATAAAAAAGCTGACGTTTCGAGCGTTAGCCCTTCGTCAGACGAAGGGCTAACGCTCGAAACGTCAGCTTTTTTATCCTTTACGGTGGCTAATTTACGTTTTCAACCCAGTTGTTAACACTAAATTACCTGCTATACTCTCCCACCGACGCAGCACCACAGTTTCTTTAGAAACTTACCCCTTTAACCTTAGTATATTCTGTGAACAATATTTTAATTCTAAGAAGCAAGGGAAAATTTCATTACACAAGTGCAAGACTGCAATGTATCAACACATAATATACTTATGATTGGAATGTGATCTTACCTCCGGGCATCTCGCAAATGTAGGCATTTTTTTCATCATCTTGAGAGATACCATTAAAGAGGCCTCCATTCTTAAATATTTCCGCCCGTTTGTCGTTATCACCTGGCTCAGAATCTCGCCATTTCCAAATACTCAGTTGCTTTCCACTCAGCCAAGTCCAAACCCCGCTTTTGTTCTCTAAACCGATATGCCACGCACTAGTATTCCAAGTACTACGCTTTTGAATCTCCTGATTGATAAACTGCCATTCTTCTTCAGTTTCGATGGAGACTAAATAACCTTTCTGATAAGTGCAGACACGCTTGTGGTCGTCCCAATATCTTCCGGTTTTCGAAAATATGTAAGAGGAGTTTTTGAAACAGATTGCTTGGCACCCTACGAGCAGAAAACAAAGGTATACTAATGAATAAATGTGTACTAATGATGACAATAATGCTGATGATGGAGACGAGAAAGTATTATAACATAGCGCGCGTGCTTGCCCTATAGAAGTCCTATTTAGCTGCTATGAACAAAATCTTCATTTACGCGGCACGCCCGTGCGTAAATAAGATGACGTGAGCATTTTTTTTTTTAACCTGGCTCCAGAGTTTTCGTCCTGTTAAGCAACAGTGCAGTTTTCCTTCTCTTTGAAATATAGATGAAACCAGTTAAGAACTTCCCAATTTTTCTATCGGCATTGACCTTTTAGATCCTGATCCAACAAGCAACAAAAATAAAGCCGAAAAAAACTCGCAAGTTGCACGTTTCGCAATTTCGTCGGAAGACCAGCTGCAGCAAATTTAGGCCGAAAGACATTCACTGGGAACAAAAAATCACCAATTGGTCATTAACAACATTTAAAGGTAAAATTTCCGTTTTCATTGTTGTTTTTTGCACTTTGCACGGCAGCGTAACATTATTTCGAACAATCAAAACCCTTGATAACTTCGGGTCTTTGACTTTTGAAACATTTTTTCCTGACATTTGAGTTCATTTGGCTTTGATTTTCTCCATTTTCCCCGTAAATTTTGAGCTTCTCGTTCACAGTTATCGGTTAACTGGATCAAATGTTTCCGCTCAAACCAAGGTATAAAATGTGGCGTGTTTTTAACCAGCCAACAGGGACGTTTGCTTACTTTTTTTGTACGTTGTGCGAAATTTGCACTCCATCACAATAAAATGCTTCTTCGCGCATATCCTTGTTGTCGTTCTGTTATGAAAGAATTTGCTCATGCTTTTTTTGCTGTGTATATATCGAGTTATGGATGCACGCGAGAAGTTTGGAGAGCACTAAAGAAGCTAGAGTTGCTCTGGGCTGCGCCTCGAGCTACTCTTACACATTTTTCGTGCTCTGCAAACTTCCCAAGTGTATCCATAACTCGATATACGCACGCTAAACATGAAAAAATTCTTAAATTTTTTATACAATTAATTTCAATGACAAACGATAGGCATTAAAACCCTCTACCTCACTAACGAAAAATTAGAATTAGGCTAGGTTTTAAAACTTGGAAATTGGGGAGATCAGGGTAGTAGCACTGTTACTCGTTGACTCTTTCCAACTTACGTTTTAAATCAGAATGCGACGTAATTGTAATAAGAAGTCTATATCTAATTATTAGCATGATCAGTCTGATAGTATCTTTTTTCCCCCGTTCATAAATTCAGGGGCGTAAATGTTAAAATTGGAATTAGCACTGCCCAACCTGTTCCTGGCAAATCCATCAACACATGAAGGATGACTGTAAAAGAGAAATGAGCAAATAAACTGATTGTTATCTCAATAATAACATTTGAAACAATGGAAAAGTTTATTAGATTTCGAGCCAGACGGTGTTGATGCATTATATTTGTTTGCTACATGCCCTTTAACATCAACCCATGATTTTTATTTTCTTCCTTAGGGAGCAGACGGAGAAATTTAAATAAAATGCCGCATCTGTGCAATTTACCAACCGGCTGAACAAAACTTGCTACACGAGGGAAGCATTTTTAAGGATACGATGGATCTTCGAGAACGTCTTTCGAACAGAATCTTTAAACGGGCCATTCGGAGTGCAACTAAACTATAAAACAATGAAAAAAAAATGTTTCGCTCTAGCTTGCAACAATTCGAAAGGGACGATATTTCGTTAAGCAAATTAATCAGTTATCAAGTCTGATCGCTCAAATAAAACTCCTGCACAATTTGAATCTTGTGGTGATCCATTAAACATTATGAATAAGAGGACTTTATTAAAAGCCAAAGACAGAATTCTTTTAATAAAGCTTAAATAAAAAAAAAAAAAAGAATCTCCACGTGGCTGTAAGGAGTTCCATTGTCGAATGTTAAAATATGAAAAT